TATCGGTGTTTAAATACATTTTCGAGTAATAGTACATTTCATTTTTCATGGTATAATATAAAAATTTCGATTGTTGTGAGAATAATATGTTCACTGAATTAACTATCCTCAATAATCAAAGTTTTCTATTAAAACTTGATTGTTTTCGTGAATTTTGGTGTTGTTCTAAATTTGAATTTTTGTAGCACCATTTTATGGTTAAATGCTGTAGATTCCCATATATGTTGAGTTTTCGGTCAATCTGTGTAAGTAAATATTCAATTAAGTTGTTGGTCTAAATTTTCTAAATTGGTCGATGATAATCATTGGCAGATTTTTCAAATAACATGTACACCGGATACTTTACTATAGCCCTTGGCGATGAATTGTGATATAACGTTCACAGGTAATTCGGTTTTTCAGCCGAATTATTTTGTTCATCACTGTCATATGGTGTTGTGTATTCTTCAAGAATTTTCTGATTAGGAAATTGTTCTTAGATACGATTATTGGTAATCTTTCCTTTTTGGTTCATACCTGATGGTCTATTTGTTTCTTTGTCATCCACTGGGGTGGATACATATTGTTGGGTTCATTGTGAATTATTTGAGAATATTCATGTGGTAGTACCAGATATAGATACATTGCTATTTCAATGTAATATGGTGATTTTGTATAATCATTATCGTTAGTTGTTGCTGGTTGAGTTTCGGATCTATTATGGGAAAGGTATCCATGTATTTTGATGAATTATAGTCGTTCAGGTTTCATTTTAAATTTCAGTTCTTCAATAATTTCTCGTATGATACAGTTCCAATATGTTTTATCATATTCTTCAAAGTGTCCTCCGAATCCTGAATGTTGTTCCGGATATATTTTAGCATTTTTGGACTGTTTTGCTGTTAAGACTTCAATAGATTCATCTGATAATTCTCTTTCTTTGAATAGGGTGATAACTGTGTATCGTCTTCTTATTAAATTTCATATTTGTTCTGATTTTAATGTTATTTCTTCAGGTCTTTTTGTGATTCCTTTTGCACTATGAATGAATAGTGATCGAAATATATTTTCTGGTTTCGGTATCTCTGTCGATACTTCAATGTATTTTGGATATATTTCTTGGATCATTTCTTCATACATGTCATATATCTCGTATAGATATTGTTTATCTATATCTTTTTCTTCTTG